TAAAATAAAAAAAAAATCTAAATAAATTGGTACATATTTGTACACAAACTTCAAGAGAAATACCTAGGATTGGAGATGGGCGGAGCTGGGTGTGTTTTGTGTGTGTTTGCGGGGTGTGTTTGCTGGGTGTGTGTGTGTGTGTGTGTGTGTGTGTGTTTGATCTGAGGAGTAAATAAAGGATGGGAAAATATATATATATATATATAGTAGGAGTTGAAGCAGGAGGAGAAGGAGGAGGGGAGAAGAAGAAGAAGAATACCAATTATCCATCTCATCTATTGACGAATAGCGAAAGTGCAAGGAATAGGAATATCCAGAGGAGATACAAACGAAGATAGGGATCCGGATACGAGTGCAGGTTTTGTTTTGAGCAGAAGGAAGGTAGAAGGAAGGCATGGGTATGTTTTATGTTCACATTAGATCTGATCTGGTGTTTAGATCGACTTGGACTTCGTTCGGTCAGACACCATCAAGAAGCATCACAGCTGCCAACCTCCTCCCATCGGCACCCCAAATACTTCGGCAGGGGATAGCACCTCCGATACCTCCGGCACCACGACCAATGCCGCTTCTACCGTTACTGCTGCGCAGCACGCCTTCTTCGAGAGACACAGACACAGACACATCTATATAGGCTGCGAAAATCGACTTCTTCTGTGCTGCTCCCGCCAGCTCCAAGGCTTGGAAGACGCTTCCCATCCTGGCGTGCAGGAGGGAAATCTGCGTCGAGTATTCGATTGTGATGATGGCTACGAGGAGGGGGAGATCGCGTAAGGTGCATTGGTGGAGGGTCCAGCCTTCTTCGCTTCTTGTTGAGGAGAGCTATTTGGTGATGCGTTGTATGTATCAGCTAGGGATACTGTGGCGATGAAGAAGAATGGGAAGGAGAATGAGAAGAAGAAGGAGAAGGAGAAGGAGAAGGAGAAGAGAATATACCTCTACAGGCCCCCCCGTGACCCCCCACCCAGCCGCCCACTCCACGCCAGCCCCCCGAGGCAGCTCCTCGACCTCCACGCTCCAGAACGGCGGGCACCTCTCCTCTTCCTCTTCAGAATCATGAACGCTACTGAGAACCTCCCAGTCCGGCACGCTCCTCGCTGCTTTCCCCGCCCCGCGCACTTCCATCCCCGCGTAATGCTTCTCTTCCCATAAATCCCGATCCTGCTCCTCCTCATCCTCGTCGTCGCCTTGCTCGCCAGGCGTGTGCAGCATTTTCCAAGCTTGGCTCAGGATGCGCGCTTGTGCTGCGATGGTGTGGAGGGGGCCGGAGGGGAGAAATGCGGCGCAGGAGGTGAACCACTTGACGTGTGTTTCTTGCGCTATGCGGATGAGGTGTTGGAGGGAGAGGACAGCTTGGAGATTGAAGTCGGCGGTTGCGTGGGGGGTATCTGTGAGTGAGCAGGGAGGGAGGGTCATGGTGTGAGGGATGAGCGGGATTTGGCCGGCGATGAAGACGGTGGAGTTTTGTGACGAGGGAGGAGAGGAGGAAGAGAGGGAGGGGAGCACGGGAACGGAGATGGCTTGTGAGTAAGGGCCGATGTTGGCGGGTGCCCAATAGGAGCGCGATTGTACGTGCAGGGCTTTGCGTGGGTGGGTAGATGGAGCTGGTGGGTCGTGGAGTGTGAGGTGAATGATGAGGGAGGTGTCGTCTGGGAGGAGGGAGCCGCTGGAGATGGTGACGCGGGAAGGGGGGTTGGGCTTGGTGAAGAGGGAACCGTAGATCTGGAGGTTTGAGTTAATGACAAGTGTTATGAGAGGGGGCAACGTACTTTGTTTACAGAAGCGAAGTCTTGCATCGAGCGGAGGATGATGACTGTTGCGACGATGGATGTTGGCTGGAGGGATGCGAGTTGGAGACGCTGGGCGATTTCTTCTATGGCTCTACTGGCCTGGACGGAAATGGACTCATCTGAGCCTGGACCTGATCTCTTCGCGGTAACGCTCCAGTGAAGCAAGTGATGAGCTTTTGCTTGCCAAGGAGAGAGGATTGGTGAAGGTAGAAATGGAGTTGCTCTGGATCCGTTCGGTGTACTCCATGAATTTAGCGAGCTGTTATGATTGCCCCCCCTCTCAAGCGCAGCGAGAATCTTTGTGAACCTTGGCTCGAGCAATTCGGGAACTCGACACTCTTTCTCCATGACTCCCACAGAGCCCTTCATCACCACTCGAGCTTCCAAGATTTTCAGCCAGGCTGACCCACCGCCTTCTCTGACAACCCTCCTATCCTTCTCTAGAACCTCAATTCGACCTTTGAACAGACATGCCGGTCCATCCACAACCAGAGTCTCAAACTCGCCGCCCTCTCCAAGCACGGCCCCATCTCCATCCGTACCAAATCTCCTCATAGATTTTTCAACTCGCCTCATGACCTGCTGACTCGCAACATTCTGCCAGAGGAAGCTCTCATCTAGGCCACCACTCGCGACTTTGACAATTCGCGCGTCCAGGCCCACCGATTGCATATCCTCCAGCAGCGAGATCTGAGCTCCCGGCGGAAGGACCGGGTACTGCCATAAGTAAGACAGAGGCGTGAGGCCCAGCCGCAAGGCCACAGATTCTACACGGGTGCGTTGGTACGTCGAGAGGATGGCACCGGTGCTGAGCGCATTCGCCGTAGGATGCTCCGCCATGATCCTTGTCAGGAGAGGCACCAACGATTCCGTCTCGTCCTCTCCTCTCTCCAAACCCTCGCCGTCCCTCGTCGCTGATCCCTCTTCATCAGCCCTCTTTCCAGCGTGCCCAGCATCGGCAAACCCGTAACTGATGCCCGTCTGTACCGCACTCCCAATGATCTGCTGGCGATACAGCGGGATTCCCAGAGCCTGTTCGTACAGCGGGATCACCGTGTGACCAACCGTTTGATACATGAAACTATTCAGGTCATGCTCATCGTCGCTTTCGGCTGAGTGATTGGCGGCGGCACTGGACGGCGCGGGAGGCGCCGGGTAAAGGTTACCGAGGGCCACGACTTGGTGCCCATTCTGGATGCAGTGGAGAACAGAATAGAAGCTGTCTTTGCCGCCTGAGATCAGCGCGATGACTTGGAGTGATTTGGTGGCCATACCGTTCGTGGCCGGCTGTTGGGCAAGGCCGCTGCCGAGCCGAGAAACTCTTTTGGTGCTACTTTTGCGTGTTTTCACGCACAAATATTGGGCAGGGCTTTTCGAAGGACCATATCGCTCGCAATCATGTGTTGACTTGTGCCGAGGGGTTACGAAAAGACTTTCGATTGAAGTGGGTGAAGCATTGCTGCCGAAGAGATCAGGTGACCCAGGAAATTGCCTTGAGAGCCAGCCGGTGGGGAACACCACGAGTAACTCCCCAAACATTCAATTCTGGTTTGCGTGCGAGGTGATTCTAGCTTAAGAGGGGCGGTGATGGTCGGCCACTGGACAGTATATCAAATTTCATGGGGCACGGCACACTAGCAAATGGAATATATTCTGGCCTGTGTCGAAAGTCCTTTGCAGTGGAATTGTATACATAAAACAGACTCCTAGCTGGGAGACCATTACTACTGGCAAGACCAGGACATGTCGGGAAGGTGCGTAGAGCAGAATGCGGTTGATGCAAGACGGTCGAGCCAGCTTCCCGTCGCAGTATATTACAAGGAATGTAGATGTGCAAACCAATCCAAGCATCCATATCAAAGTGCGCGCCTCCAACTTCCCACCTATGTCCCATCATCACGCTAAATCGATTCACGAAAGTCTTGAAGAGAAATTTTGATACAAGAAGAGAAGATCATGAAGAGAATAAAACACGGCAAGACTTTTTTGGTATAAGTGCAGACCCCAGCCTCATGATAGCATCATGGTAGTCGTGAGACTCCAGTTTTCCCTAGTGACGAAGCGCGTAAGAGGTAGCGTTGGTCGAGTAAGAAGATTGTATCCGTAGTCGTGAGATTCGTGTGTGGCGTTTCTTCACCCAGAGTATCTTGAGGGCGGGAAGGTTTTTACTCGGAACGCTTGCGCTTCTTGCGACCTTGGCTCTCATTGTCGGTGCTACTATCTGAAGATGAGCTGTCACTGCATGGAACGGCGGCGGCGACTCTGTAGAGGATGTTGCCCATTGAGCCAATGTGTTCGCCTTCACTCGCGGATTCAGTGTGATCATCAAGCAACTCGCCATCTTCCAAGACGCCCATGACGATGGCACCACTGCCGTGAGTGCGAGCGTGCTGCGAGAGGTTGTCACTGCGCGAGAACTTCTTCCCGCACTCGTGACACTCGAAAGGCTTGTCGTGAGTGTGGAGCGAGCGGTAATGTCTCTTGAGGTGTTCCTGACGTCGGAAGCGGCGGTTGCAGATTTCGCAGACAAAGGTCTTGGATGGATCCTCGGTGAGAGATTGTTTGCGGCCTCTGCGGTTGGTAGAGGGCTGTTGTGGAGCGTTACCTGCATCAGAGCTGGCACCGGTATCTTGTCCTCCATTGTTCGCGGTGGTGCCATCAGAGCCAGATTGGCTCGGAGAAGTGGACTGTGGCTGCTCGGTGGCGCTCTCTTGGGCTGGGGCAGCGCTAGCAGAGTCCATTGAGACGGTGTACTTGCGAGATCTGACGAGGTTGTCAAACGCGGAGCTGTCTTCGTCGCCGCGGGCCTTCTTGGAGGATTTCTTGCTCTTCTTCTTCTCTTTCTTGCTGTCGTTTTCAGAGCCAGAAGCCGGAGGACTTGGGAGACACGCAGTCGCAAATTGTTCCGAATTGTCGAGCTCCTCAAACTCCTCGAGGTCGTCCTCACTAGTGAATTGTTCGTGGTCAAGGGTGACAAGGTCGGATCCGGAGCTGGTGCGTTGTCTTTTCGTGCCAAAGAATTGGGCGTTGCTAGTGGACGGAAAGTTCACGAGACCGTTCACGAAGTCCTCCTCGGAGTCGAGCTCGGATAGCTGATCGAATGTGGGCAGCCCGTGGTGGGTGATTGGGGTCGAGAAATCAAATGTCCTTGCATGAAGATCGGCCTCAGCTCCGAGCATGAAGCTGTGCTCTTCGTCGTCTCCGGCACACAGGGTTGGCAGAGGCGGGAACTCGGCGTGTGTAGCAGTTTCGGTCTTGACCTGCGGCGTGTTTGCGGAGGCAGACGTCGATGCCGCCACAGATGGAGATATGCCAGCGCCCACAGTCAGGTTACGCGGGTCGCAGAAGTCGAAGTCGAATTCCTGCTCGGAGATGACTGATCGGGGATACGGGGATGGGGACGGCGAAAGCGAGGGACACGCCGTCGCAGCTAGAAGCTCGCTAGCGCTCCCACCGTTGGTAAGCGAGTTGGGCTGGATGAACACTGGTACCACACACAGTCGAGTCAGCCTCGGACCAAAAATAAACATCAAACACCAATCAACCGATTCGCCCCAGGCTGTGGGGGGAACGATCGAAGCAACGCAGAGCAAAGCAAGCACGGCAAATGCACGGAGATGCACATGGCTAAATGCTGCCTGTGCAACGGCCACGCACAGAGAGAGAGCGGGAGAAAAACATACCTGGAGTCATGGGGGGGGATCCGCGTCGCGGCCACTCGCCGGAGATCATGTTCTCGGCCAGCATCTCGCCGTGGCAGCCCGGCTGAGCGCCTTCGAAGCCGTCGAGTCCGAAAAAGACGGCGTCCATGGACGTAGGCATGAGTTCGCAGCTGCTCGGACTGCCGATCGAACTGCCCGAGGCGGACATCGGAGGTGTTGACGGGTAGTAGTACATATCCTCGTGCACGTCGGATTCGAGGATCGTGCGGGGGTCGTGTTCCTGGATCATGATCATGGGCTTCTGGTTATGATACATTGGGCGAGGAGATGCCATGGGCTTCATGTTGACCGGGTACCCGTTGCTGTACATCTGCGGGTGCATGGCAGGCTGAGAGCATCCCGAGTTCAGTCTTGGGTAGATCGGGGTCGAAGGCAAGGGCTGCATGTGTGGGTGGTAGACTGGCACCTGAGTGTTGCTTGGTTGATGCGAGAAATGGCCGTGTTGGCGATTGTCAGGCTTTGGGTCGGGGTTGTAGTAGAAGAAGGGCGACTGGCCCATCGACTGCGGGGGTTGTGCGTATGAGGAGTCCATGTCGACGGCTTCAAACCAAGGAAGATGCTCTGTCCGGCCTGGATCGTGTCAGCCGAGTTCTGTCCAGCTCAATCTTTTCCATCTGTCGAGGGTATGTAGTGCATACCAGGTTGCGATTGCCTTCAAGTTTTGTTGATTATGTTTCGAAGCGTTGAGATTGATTTCTGTACCTGGGAGACTGAAAGATCCAGATTCGGAAGATGGTAGGAAGCTTGAAGAGCGGCTTCACGACGGTACTTGAAGTCTTCCACACTGTCTAAAAGCTGTATGGACGAGGTCGTTGATTACACATATGCTACCGGAACGTTTGGTTGATGTCTCCCGGGTGGATGCTTTTCTAGAGGAACTCGACGGGTGGTGTACAGATCTGGAATGCAGAGTGGCAGCGAGATGCTAAAGGAAGGTACGGAAGCGAGCGAGGAAGATATAAACAAGCGCGAGTTTCGTTGATGATCCAAGGGAACGAGTTACAAGAAAAATAGGAAACGGGCGGTCGGTATATGAAGAACGATCTCGCGGTGGTGGGTATAAACCTGAGGAGCAAACGAATCTGCTGGTGACGGGACCCTGGAATAAAGTAGTAGTAGATCGATCTCACGAGTGTGATAGCAGAGACAAAGATAGGCAGGCCGGAGTAGCAGGGGGATACGCAGGCATGGCGAGCAACCGGGGGGGAGATGGTAGTGGGGAGTCTCAACTGGGAGGGTGTGAATAGTGAAGCGGGTATGAGAAGAGTTGAGGGTGGAGATGGAGCCAGGTACAAGAAGCAATAGGGAGCAAGGCCGGGTCGAGGGGTGGAAGTAGTAGCCAGTGGCCATGTTGTCTACTTCCACTCCCTGGACAGCAACCTAGCAGGCTGTCTGGGGATGTTGATATTTACAGGGGGAGCGAAGTTACAACTGCTACTAGTGTAGCATGAAAGTTGGGATGGGATGGGCTTGGATTGATTGGCAGACCCGGAGGAAAAGCAAGCCATGGATGGGCCGTTGGAACCTGGGTCACGGTGGCTGGGGTGGTTCTATAGTACAGTAGAGTACAGTACAGTACTGTACTGTACTGTACTGTACTGTACTGTACTGTACTGTACTGTACTGTACCAGTACCAGTACTGTACAGGACAGGATAGTACAGTTTACAGTACCTGCTGGGGCCACGGAGTGCGGAGTGGAGAGTCGAACATGCTTTTTTTTCTAAAGCTGGAAAACTGGACGAGGCCGGGATGCCTCATGCCTGTCGCTGCTGGCGTTCGACGCTACTCGCGCAACTCTACTCCGGACCGTCCCAATAATCTACTACGTACCTCTATCGACCGAACTGATCGATTTGCCGGGAAGCTCAGCGCCGCCGGCCACGGCGGATAAATCTAGGTAATGGGTATAGTGCTGTTTTGTAGTGGGTTTATACGTCGTAGGTGGTATAGTACTGGTAGTGGTACTACTACTACTACTACTATATTGGATGATGCCGAGTGGCGCAGACAGGCCGGTTGGGATTGTCCGATGATCTGTCTGGGCCTCGACAAGACAACAACAACAACACCGCTCTCTCGCTCTCTCGCTTTCTCTCTCTCCAACCAGCCTCCCAAAAGCGGCGGCAAAAGTGTGTGCGACAGTTGCGCATGCATCAATTTGTGTGTGCCTGCATAAGCCCGTACCAGGAGCGCGAAATGAGCAGGAGCATAATCTATCCATACGAGTCCTGCATAACTGGGCACGAAGCATCACTACCATTCGTCCATGGCCTTCGTACTACTTCTCAAAGAGGTGCTCCTCTTCCACTTATTATTATCAATCCGAGCAGCTACGGTAGGTACCGGTACTAACGTCTTATATTTGGAAATCGCCCTACCACCATCCCAACGATGATTGGGACTCAAGATGCCCAGAGGCAGAGGCAGAGGGAGAGGCAGAGGGAGCATGCATACATAGGAGCGGCTACCTGTCTCGGTGTGCTCAGTTTCTGCGCGGGTGCGCTGGAAACGGAGATCCGTACGGTGTGGCGACCAGATGGTCCTACGATTGCCCTACGATTGCTCTCTCTTTGATGGCATGAGCAGCAGTAGCTTTGGAAGTTCGCAATAGAGTAACTTCTTCTACTTTGCAACAGAATGCCCTACACTCGCGACAACGAAAAATGTCACTAGTTTCGCTCGCCTAAGAATAACCCTAAAAATAAAGCTACACCAGAACATACTACGCACTACGTACTACTACTACAGTACGTACTACGTACTACTACGTAGTAGTACGTTCATCATACAAGTAAAACCCACAGTACACTTCATCTGGGCCGGCTATTGGCAGTTGCTCCTGCATAGCCGGCATACGATAGAAGCGATTCGGTCGGGTTCAGCGTGGCATTATCACAACAGCATGGACATCGGCTTCATAGAGTAGGTCCTCTTCCCTACGACTTCATGCGATGCTGCGACTCAGGAAGAAGCATGCTCCAGCCTTCCAGCGGCACTTCTGTCTTGAGCCACCACCCAAACAAAGCATGCGGCGCTTCAATAAAGAAGGTACTAGTAGTACTACGTTGAAGGGAAAACAAAACAAAAAAAACCTTTTCTGCAACTTCTTGACCTCATTCGCTTGATCTCCGTCGAGATGATGGAAGGAATTCTCGTAGCGAGACGCGAAACACTCATACGGGCCACTCACGACTCGAGTTCACCCTCCACCTCGTACATTGGATGATGTCGTGAACGCCCACAGCGCGCGCACGGGTAGCGAAGCGATGCAGTTGCCCTACGGATACTTCTACAACTACGAGACGGCTGATTTATTGGCCGCAGTAGTCTTAGTCTCCGCGATCAGACCTGGACAGATAGTTTTTTCCTCGAAAAGCATCGTTGCTACTACTAAGTAATCGTCATCTCAAATTCTTATTATCGGCCCCTCCTCTTGATACAGTCGCGAAGTATAATCATGCTCACGGACCTGCCTGGCTATCGATAGGCAAACTCTCTTCGGCCCTCCAGCTACTACTAGGTACTACCTACGACAACTATCTTCAGCACATTTGGATTGGGATCGGGATCCGTTACCCCGCGTTCGGGGCGAACAGTCTTCGTCTATGAAACAAGAAGACATTCCGCACACCGAGGAATGAATGGAACGGATGTCGAACGAGACGAGACACGCGTCGTGGATGGGATGGCAAAGCATGTCGAGAAACTGCTATCCGCTCGCGCCGCTCGCGGCCGGGTCAGACAGAAGTGATGATATAGGTAGATATTTATATGTGCGTGCGTTACCATACTCCACGCCGCTGTGCATCCCGGTGCCAGTTCACCCAGGGCCAATGGCCATGATATATGTCATATCTCAGGTACAAGTACGAAGTGTGTTTCGGCTGCCGGTGGCTTCCTGCAGGAACAAAGCGTCCTATCTGGCTGGGCTGGCTGCAGGTGACTGACTGACGAGCACCTCGACTGGTGTTTCCGAAACCTTTTGCCGATATGTTACGAAAGAGGAAGCCGATCCAAAGGCCCAAGAAGAGCACCAAGCTTACGAGACAGACGCGGGCGTGGTGAGTACAGCTGGATAGCGGGATAGGTCTCGCCGGATCTGGAGTTCCAACTTCCAACCTCGAACCGCTCAACGCTATTGGCGGAGAGGCTCTACCAGTCGGAGGGAAATGAATTCGCGCAGTCATAGATTCATGGTATCTACTGGTAGTTCGACATCGCTAACGAGGATACTGCCTGTACTCGGATCCCCAAGTGCGAGTCGAGCGAGTCGCTTGAAACTGTCAGGATTTGTGGGGGAAAGTCTTGTTATTTCGGGACTTTTATCGCCTAATCGATAGGGCGATAGCTGCCCGCGTTTGGAAACTTGCGGATTCCCATCTTTCCCATCTCTTTCGTTGATGAAAGTGCTCGGACAGGCGGACAGACGGGCGGACGGGCGGACGGGCGGACGGGCGGACGGACAGACGGGCGGACAGACGGACAGACGGACAGATAGACAGATAGACAGACAGACAGACAGACAGGTGAGAGCGGCTCGAGCCCTCCAGCCAGGCTTGGTACATGCCGGCAGATAGGTCACAAAGGACAAGTGCAAATGACAAGATGCCGTGTTGCGCCTGTCCCTCAGTCCCTCGGTCCCTCAGCCCGCCCGAACTGGCTGTTGGGCCGCCCCAGACAGCCCGCCCGCCAGTCAGCCAGTCAGCCAGTCCGTCAGTCGTTCAGTCGTTCAGTCAGTCAGTCAAGTCAAGTCAGTCTTACTATCCGGTTCCGTATGGCTGCTCTGGATATGGCTATGGCTATGGCTATTAACTTGTATGGCCTGTGCTAGGAGTATCTATCATCTACCCGTGCAGAGTAGTAGTCGTAGAAAGTATCCGTAAGTCATCAGGGAGATTGCATAACCTAATACAAGCTGTACAAGCAAAGATAGGTAGAGACTCCGTACACTGCCTGGCTCGGCTGCTTGCTGCTTTTGACAGAGGTTGGTACGTAGTGTACTATACTGTGCTGTACTGTACAGTCTGGACGGTCTACCCATTATGCTGGTTATCATCAAGGTGTGCATGGAATAATACCGACTACGTACGTAGTACGTAGTATAATGATACAACTATAACCATATTACTGTACAGTCCGAAGTAGCAGCATCGCTTGGCCTAGCTTGGTTTGTATCCTGCTTCGACCCCCTTGTTGCCTCGGCTCTTCTAACTTTCTTCTCGCATCACCAAACCAACATCACCAACACCAACCCTCATACCGGTACAACTACGGAACATCATCTCAGCTTCAATTCCACTTCAACTCCAATACCACAGCTCTCTGCTCGACTGCTCGATCTGCTCGATCGGCTCATCGCCCGGCCAGATGGTGCGGTGCGATGGAGACCACTGTGCCCTGGGCTTCCAGAAGCCCCCGTTGCGACACGCTGGAAACCGCTTGCTGGGGTCGACACCCATCATCGACGGCGCCGGGATAGGGCAACACCAGCGGTCCAGCATTCGCACCCTTGATCCCCTGCAGGGACATCACTCGGTAGCGTTGCGTACGGTAAGCCTGTGGGTGCGGTGCCAAAATGAAGGCGACCCAGTCGTTGCCGTCTTCCTCGGCCCGGCAGCACGCTTCTGGTCCAGCGAATCGGGGCTGCGGGCCAAACGTTTTCTGACTCTTCTACCGGTACTGTACTTACTGTACGTACTACGACGGTACTACTACGTACGTACTACGTTGTACGGCGTGCCTACTTACCAAATGCAGTTAAGAAAGCTCCGGTCTTTGCTGCAGGTACGATGCAGGAACAAGAGCTCGACTAGCTCGAGTCTCGAGTCAGGCATGTATGCCTCAGCAGAAGAACCTCGACGACCTTCCGTCTCGAGCATATCAGACTTCATGTCAGAGTCAGACGACCACCGCGCACTGTCAGCTAGTAGTGGTGGTGGTAGTAGCTAACTCGCATCCTGTCATCTGATTTCTCATGGTTGTACTTATTCAACAGAGTCTGACTCGCTTCGCGTCGTGTATTGTCGATTACGGACGGCTTCAACGTCGCTTGGCTGCTCCCCCAGCCACTTAAGCCATCCGCTATCATCAATACACTGACACCCAGGCTTCTTCCAACCGCGGCTTCCGGGCCAGCTCCCAAAATCACGACGGGGCCGTGGGACCTGCAAGACAAGAGTCGCACTTGCAATACTCCGTATGGGGGGGGCCGGACTTGCTGGGCCAAAGTCTAACTAACTCACTGCGATTTCCGAGGACAGGGTACGCTTATGAAGAGAGGGTCTTGTCTATCTTCTCGATATCGATACCGTTGCTCGTCTAGAACGTGGCGCTCCGAAGGGAGAGAGAGGGTGGGAGCGATTCCGACAGGCTGGACACGGTTCATAATGAGACATCCGCCACTTCTCCGTGACATTTCATTTCGGGGTCTCTGTTTCCCACGAGCTCATGCCCTCTCGGATCTTCCACTCAGATCAAATCGAGTTAATGACACCATCAACGGCCCGCGACGTTCCCGTCGCCCGGAATGTAGACCAAGCTGGGCAGGGTCGTAAACCAGTACTGCCAAGTTTACCTTTCTGCAGCTGTCTCCAAGCCTGCGAAAATTCGCCAACCCCAGATTCTTTTCTAGCTAATCTTTGACAAGGTCGGCAATGCTATTGGTCAGAGGGTGATTTGGACTTGCATAAAGTTGCTGCTACTCCCATACGTGGTACATGCTTGCGCATGCGTCAACTGTGGGGCGTTCTTGTTCTCTCTCTCTCTCTCTCTGTCTCTGTCTCTGTCTCTGTCTCTCTCTTTTTCTTCTTCAAAAAACTACCGAGTATGTCCAATCGGCAAAGTTTCTTTTTGAAGATTTCCTTCTGTCAGCGCCACGACATCATGAACTTGGCCGAAGTCTCGAGATTATCACACCACTTTGGCTACCGAACTGTCTCTCCCCAAGCCAGGCACACTCGCAGAGTCAGAGAGCCGACCCAGCAATAAGAACAAGCCGATTTCAAGATGGACGTTGAGACATGGGAGCACACTTCACTCGGCGGCCGAAAACGGTTAGCTAAATCTTCCGTGCTCGACATTTATCACAGATAGATTCGACGCAAGCATTCGTCGCCAGATCACCAGATTATCGGCCGAAACCAGCTACCCGGAAATTTCTCGAATGTTTCAGATCACTCTAAAGAAGAAGGCAAAACAAGTGTTGGCCAGCAAGCACGGATGATGAGGGTAGAAGTGGGGGGCAACGTTTCAAACCGAGGTATGTAGTTGCAGTTGTATTACAGTATTGTTATTGTTATTTATTATTGTTATTTATGCACTTTCACATAGACAGATGACGTATTTATGCGTGGTCGTTGTCGCATTTGTTACGAACGCTCCCCAGGTTCCACGTTGGAAGACAGCCGAGTGAATGTTTACAGAGTGAGTGTACCTGATCGCAGCTTCGCTACTCCTGCTTCAAGGGAGGGCCCCGAATTAACCTTGAAATTAAAGACTGTATCTGAAGTCTGAAGGTGCATCTTGCAAGACAAAAAAAGCATTGCACTCCAGTGGGCACGTGTGCCAAAACCTCGCCGTGTATTCGCATCGGGTTATTTTTTCTCCAAGCAAAAAATCCCCACGAGGCATGAGCACGCATAAACGAAATCGCAAGCCTCAAGGGTGCATTTGGTTCGTTCGTTCGTACGTACGTAGTACGTACAGTAGTGCGTACTACTACGTACATGCAGGCGCGGCCAAAACAGCAGAAACGTAAAGACGAAGACCAATGATCGGCGCCCAAGATATCCAAAAATAACAATTTTAAACTTTTCTCGCGATTAGCTTGCTGGAATCTATCATCCAGTTGAGCCGATCTCTATCTCTCTTTGCTAGACATATTATTGTCCTGTATTTCTTTGTTGGCCGCACTTGCCGAAGCTGTAATAACGTCCAGGGCATATTGCTGAGAACCTAATGGGTTGCGCCATCCTCCGCGCAGTATTCTTTACTCTGTACCTCTGTGTAGTACACAAAGTAACGTCCCATGCAAGACCGGGGCCGTGGTAAATACTATACAACTAAACAGCCCAAGACCGCCGGAAGGACTAGCTGCTCTTCCCCAGCGGATGAAGAGCTCCTGGAAGCGGGGACGGGGAGTTCAAATAGTAGTACGTAGTACTTTAGAGTAAAGTGCGGCCAAGGCCGAAAGCTTTTTTATTTCAACGGCTGCTTGAGTAGTTGTAATTGATATGGGAATAAGGGAAGTGGATATGTGGAGATCTTGCCAATGTCTGGTGGACATTCCGCCAGACGGGATTGCAAATTTACTATCAGCGGGACGGTAGCCGTCCCGACCAGCGGTATCACGCTTGCTCCGAAGAGAAGTCAAACAAAGGCCTGGTGGTCCCTTCGCAAATCAGGTCATGGTCGCTTGCCCGGTGAATCAAGATCCTACGCGGCAAACAAGCAGAAGGAAGACACGCAGACTCTACTACTGTACAACTATTTTCTGTCCTGCCAAGTTGTAACCGCTTTAGACGAGGCGGAATCTTATCCTGGAACAGAGATGCCGGAACGGCAATCGCTTTGACAATAGCATTTTTAATTTTTAGGTTAAAGGTACGACGAGATACGGATATGACACTAGGTATTTTATGGGAGCCGCCCCCAAAAAAAACATGTATACAAAATAAAAAAAGGTAATACCCGAATATTCGATGACGACCTTCGATATTGGCTGTCTGGAAATAATCAACCCTGTCTCATCGTGACGAGATTGTCTGTACTCTACCTCAGCAGGGAGAACATCGGAAAGCAAGAGAAGAGAGACTCACTCTCCAAATTCTTCCCCCCTGGGCGGCGGGCCGGGGCTCCCGGATCAATTCGAGTCGATATTCGATATTCGATACCTATCTATCCCACACGGGACGCTGGAGAAAGAGAGTTTTTTTTTTCTTTTTCTTTTTTTGTCTTTCCCTCTCGCAAACATTTCCTGCCAGCGACTCGGTACCGATCGATTAAAATTTAAACCCAGCCTCACTCAGCCTCAATATGAGAGAGAAGGATATACTCTCTCTTCCCCCGGCTGGGACCCCCCCACCCCCCCACCCACACTTCCAGTACAGTAGGTACAGTACCTAGGTAGGTAGGTAGGTAGGTACTTACCGGTACTACTACCTACTACCTACTAGGTATCAAGTACCTACCTACCCAACCGCGCATGCCGAATCGAGAGCCCACGCCACGCCACGACCGCCTCGCACATCGCACACGCACCGCATACGTACCGCATACGTACGTAGTAGTAGGTAGTAGGTAGCCCCAAAAGCCAAAGTGCAAGGTCGCGCTTCTACCTACGTACGTACGTAGTACGTACGTAGTACGTACGTAGTAAGTCAGGAAAAGCTTGACCCCCGCTGCCCCAAGTCTCTTTGTCTCTTTCTCTCTTTCTCTCTTTCTTTCTCTCTTTCTTGCGAATTCTCCTCGCTCGGACTCGCTCGCTCGCTCGCAGCTTTACCGGTACCGTATTCACGCTATCCGGATACGTACCGTACCGTACCGTACTTACCGTCTCTTTATCGCGATGCGTTGCTCTCTGCCCTGCCTGCCTGCCGCTATAATTACCTACTACTATTACTGTGCTGTATTGTATTGTATTGTATTGTATCGGGCCTCCCCCTTCCAGAGCGGACGGGCGGGCGGGCAGACGCACGCACGCACGCGAAATGATCCCGTCAACCGGTATTCTCGCATCCGCTTCTTCGTTTGCGGTTTTGCCTCATCGACCTACCTAGGTACGTAGTACGTACGATGGTTATCGCCTCTCTCGTGTGTGTGTGTGTGTGTGTGTGTGTGTGTACGATGTGAGAGTGCCCATTCCCATATTCCCATATTCCCATATTCCCATCACGGAAAGTGAAAAAAAATTAAAAAATTAGGGAGTCGATGCGTAGTATGTAGGT